ATATATTGCCCATGATACTCTGATATATTGCAGTATTTTGGCAACAATACTTCTTTGTTAAACCACTACTTGTGCAAAGTTAATAAATGAAATAGATCTATTTTAATCATCAAAACAGAGAATATGTGTATTGTGTATTGCATAAACAAATTTCCTTAATTTAAATATGCAATATGCAATTGTACTGCGGTCACAAGACCCCCCCCCAAAAAAAAAATGATAATGATATATTGATACAACGGCTCATGATAATGATTCTGTATCACCAAATTTAGTATCATGATATATCGATATTCCAATATTTTTACACACCCATATTCAAAACAGTACATACTGTTCTGATAGGGCTGTGCAATTAAACAAGTTTCAAGCAAGATTGAGAAGTTATTTTTAATCATCAGTCATTATCTAGTTTTTTTTTTTGTTTTTGTTTTTTTTAATTTAGACATCTTGAAGTTCAAACTTTGGGGAAAAAACTAAAAAATTTAATCAAATTGATAATTTTCCCTTAAGTTCTAACAATGCAGCATAATTACACCTGCTGTTACTACTTTGTATCAAGGTATAAGTATGTAATGACCTATGATGCAGACTTAATATTACTTTAATTTTATATATTTGTATTTTTTGTCTTGTGAAGAACCACCCGTTTTAAGTCATAGTCATTTTACTCAAGTGTAATGCTGCAATCTATCATAACTAAACTATTCAGCATGATGAAAATGAAGAACCATTGCCATAGCGATTAACAACTTGAAACAAAATTTCACCTTGAATGAGAAAAAGTCTCCAAAATTACAGATATCACAGGAAAACTGAAAGCAATATTTCAGTTACAGTATGATGTCATCTATTTGAAAGTTTACTGCAGAGAAAATACATCAGTTATTAATAGGAGACAGTGTAATCCCTCATTTATCCTGTAATGGTCCAATATAGAGAAAGTGACAGTGGTAGTCATCTGGACACTGTTCCAATTGAAATGACCTCTGGATGTGAACCGAAATATACAAATAACTTCTCTCTCTCTATCCAAGCCTCTCTATATACAATTAAAAACAATTAAAGCTCTCTGATTAAAGTTCTTTGCGGATCTGCTGCTGAACACACACGTAAAAATATGTGTACTTCATTCCCATTACTTCACAGTGGAAATATCTGACCTTTTAACAAACTGCTAATTATTCAATTAAAGTGCATATGACATGACAGATTTTTAAGATTCTCTCATTTCAGTTTAGTTTGATGGGATTATAACTATTGTAAATGTAAATGATAGTACAAACCAAGAAGCAATCTGGGGAGAAAATTTGAAAATGTTGAAAATTACAGGAAGTTGAGAGTTCAAACATACTCATGACATCTCACTGGGAGAATTCTGTCAAACAGTTCAGAACATTTTACACCTAAGAATTTTTTTTTATTTTTTTCTGATACGTTAAACATGATTTCAACAAAATAAAGGCATATTCGTATATTTTAATTTGTTGTATTTTCTGTACATTGGAGGAGTTATGGAATTCCCCAGTACAATGTCACAATTTCCTAGCCTGATTCATCAGCCGGTTTCACTTTGTGGAAACCGTCTGAGCCCGCAGCGTTAGAATTTGTTCTCTCAACGGTAGGTGGGTACTTTTTTATTCAACCAATCACTGCTATTTGGTTGTGATGTATCTAATGCGCCGCTAACGGGGCTAACTGGTATATTAAGCTTTTCCCAAATCCCATAGGAAGAAGGGCAATAACGTCTTTCCCTTTGATAAAATTCACCAAACATTCTCTTTGTTCTGGCTTTAAATCCTCGATCTCGGGCATCGTGGCCAACACAGAATGTAAAGCTCTTTGCCTATTGGCTGGTGCAAGGACTTGCACTTCCAGGGTTTTTGCAAACCGTCTAGTGCATTCTGATTCCTGACCTAGTCGCTGGAGAGAAATGAAATTGAGCGAAGGCATAGGGGGCACCAACATTTTCCAACCAGGAAGTAACATTTTTAACCTAAAAAGTGGGAAGACGAGCGTGAATGTTTCTGCAAAAATCTTAAATATAATAATCTAACTGTGTCTTAATAAAATGAGTAATCTAAACCGTCATAAGTATTTTAAAGTCTATTTGCATGAGGAAGGGTGTGGTGGATGTGCACACTTCTTGAACAGACCTACAGTATTTAGCTTGAGCAGTAGCAGTAGCAGTGATTGTTAGTGTAGGAGTATTTGAGTGCACAGGTTAACCACACAGAGCCCTGAGCTACAGAGAGAGGACAGAGAGAGACTCCATTCTGAAGGGACAAGTGACCCGGAAACCCCCACGCCTTTATAGGAGCAGCCTCTCCTCTCCAACACTGACATGAGCAGCTCCCTACACTCTTCTCTGTGTGCTTAGTCTGGTTTTAGGACAGTCTGTGAGAAATATACAGTAAATCTGCAGAACTAGAGTCTGGGCTTTAAGGACTGCACTCAGATGTCCATTCTCCTCACACTTTTTGGTTTGTGAGAATTAAATGCACTGCTACAAGATGCATTTTACTAACATACTTGAAATTAAATATTATTCAGACATTTTCACTTCTTTATAATAATAACCATCAAATAACTTTTTTTTTTTTAAGAATTATGATTGGTAGGGGAACTAAACTGACAACACATGAATGTTAACATAACATTTTAGATTTGGTGCACCCTGTTCATCTTTCCTTTGATTTGGTGTCTGCTAACAAGTGTATCACAGTCAGGACACAGATTAAGGTTAAGGTTAAGGTTAGGGTTACGATTGAGGTTAGGTTTAGGGACAGTTAATCTGGATTAAATTAGAGCTTTGGGACAGGCTGTGCCCTGACATAATTTAGGGAGTCCCCAGGTGTCCGCTAGCATAAAATATTAGCATGAACTTTCTTGAAATGTTACAACATTTCAAGAAAGTTGAAACAATAATCATATGGTCAAAGTCATCCAAAACTGTCCCACAAACATTAAAATATATAATGTATAATATTCCAAATTCACACATTAGTGCTTTCTGTACCACTTTACCTGTAAAAAGATAAATATAGCTTCAGTGTGTGTGCTGTGGTCTGATCATGTAGCATCATTTTTACAAAAATAATCTGGATAAGAGCAGATCCACAACAAGAGAGAAGGAAGGACATCTCGGTGCGGTCGTCTGAGTGCAGCCTCTGGGTCCTACCATGTGTTTGTTTGTCTCCACAAACCTAACAAGAGGGCCTCCTCCTGCTTATCTCCATGTTTTTTTTTTTTTTTTTTTTAATAATATTCCACAGTATGGCATAGAACATGTCTATCTCTATGGACAATGTTCCACAGTAATTGTCCTTCTCTAGAAAGTTACACGGTGCTGCTTTGAAGCCTGTGGGAGAAGGCTTTGAGTTTGGAGTGCATACTTCTGTTTGTAACTTATATAGTAAGCAGATATTAAATGAAGAAAGTCACTTGTGCAATTAAAAACATCACCAAAATGTTAGCCTATTTCATATCACCTTGAGAATGTCCAGTCTTGTCTGATCTGTGCGTTCATACTGATCCTGGTTAATACTGGGGTCTGAGAGCAGGTGCTGTGTGTAGCGGGGTTATTCTATTCAAATTGGGTGTGTTTACACACTCATACGTTCATTAACATGCATTATACTAAACAAATAAACACATAATCAAAGCTGCAGGCACAGTACATCAAAAGTTTGGACGCACTTTTTCATTTCTGTTTCTTATTTATTTACAGGATTATTTACAGTGTAAATTCTCACTGAAGGCATCAAAACTATGAATGATACATGTGTAGTAAATAAAAATAATGTCAAAATAACTCAAAACGTGTTTTAGATTTAAAATAAATAAAAATAACCACTCTTTATATTGATGACTCAGATCACTGCTGTGAAGTGAAAACTATTTCGGGAGACTTCATCATGAAACTCACTGAGAGGAGGCCAGAGGTCTGCAGGACTGTCAACAAAGCAAAGGGTGGCCACACTGAACATTTGAAGATGAAATATAAAAAATACTATATTTAAAATATTTATTTCAAAGTATTTTTTTTTTCTGTACTACATAATTCCATGTCTTGCATCATATATTTGATATCTTCTGTATGCATCTAAAATGTAGCAAGTGGCAATCATCAAGAAAAAAAAAAAAAAAACACTGAATGAGAGGGTGTGTCCAAACTTTTGACTCTATGCGTTGCTGTTAACAGAAACATTCTGTTGTGAAAAATACAATTTTCACTTAGAGCAATTTCTAAACCTTATAGAACATAGTCTAGGATAATGACTACATTTACTTCCACACAGACTCATGTTCCCACAAAAATGAAAACTTTTCTGTATAGCTGATTTTGAATAGTTATTTATAGGAAAGAAATATTTTTCATACATTTTGTTTTAATTCCTTATCATTTTCAAAGTTTTGTGCTTTAAAACTAAAGTAGTGTGTATATGTGTGTGTGTGTGTGTGTGTTTGTATACGTGTCTGTGTTGTTCCCCCTTCATTTTTCTTTCTTATATAATTTTAAAGATACCCATCGGCAAACATTATATTAAATCCTCTTAACAACTTATTAACTACAAATGACTTTAACAGGCCTATGAGGACCGTGCGCGCTCTGCAGTGACTGAACCACGGTGTTCTTGCACCATGTGAATAATAGTGGCCTAATTCCAAAAGCAATACTGCTATTTATTTTATTTTTTTTATCACAAAAATCTTACACACATATTTGACTCACTATTCATACAAATTAAACGCTTAAAACAAGAAAAGAAAAAAGAAGATGAAGAACGTCAACCTTAACCACACTGCCGCTCCTGCCCAGCTACATTCAATAATAATAATAATAATAATAATAATAATAATAATAATAATGAATTATCTATAAAAGTGGCACATGCATTATTTAGAATAAATGCCAAAGAAAAGCCAGGCATCGAGGCGGAAGATCACATGTCCTCGTGGGCCTGTATCGTCCTGTCCCATGTATTAGGCCTATTCGGTTATAGATCCGTGTCCACGAGCCCATAGCACGCTCCTCCGTGGGTAAAGTACACGTAGGGTGTAGCGTGGTGCCCCGGGTAAGTCATTGGGAAGGGTACCGGTAGCAGGCAGCCGCCAAGTGCGCGGCTATCCTTGTACGCAGTCTGTGCGTGCGCGTGCTTGTCCTCCAGGTCCGAAGAAATCTGCCTCTTGAGTTTGTTTCGTCGGTTTTGGAACCATATTTTGACCTGTGTCTCTGTGAGCTGAAGGGAGCTCGCAAGGCACGCGCGCTCCGAGCTGCTCAGGTACCGCTTCAGGTCAAACGTGGCCTCCAGCTGAAAGATCTGCCGCTTGGAGAAGATGGTGCGCGTCTTCTTTTTCACCGGAGCTTTGGGTTCCATTGAGGCCCGCTGGCCCTGGGGCCTCTCTGTCCCGGGACTCGAGGCAGTGCACTCCGTCTTTGCTGTATTTGAACAGAAAGAAAGTACACGTTTGTGCTTATAACTAACAAACTGCCTAATTAAAGAGTACTACAACATATAAAGTCAATTCTTAAGCACTTCAGCACATTTTTTTGAAACTGAAAATAATAGAATAATAAAATAATTAATAATAATAAATTAAAGAAATTTAAGAGTCACCTTTCTCCTTGGTACTGCTGTCCAGTTTCTGATCGTCCTCGTGCCCTGGGTCCGCACAGCCATGTTTCCTCTCGCGCTGTTTTAAATTGAGGATGTGGTCGATGGTGAACGTGAGCTCTTTGCTCATGTTCCCGGGCATCGCATCAGCACCTGCGTCAGTCCCGGAGCTCCGTGTTGTCCTCGCACTCCGAGCACCATCGCTCCTTGTTTGTGACTACAGAGGCGCACTGCGCGCGGTCCAAACACAACTGTTCTGCGCCTTTTGATTGGTGGGACGTTAGGGGCAGATGAGGGCGGGATGTGGCTTACGGTGGATGCTATAGACATAATGCTCCTTAGCGTGCTCGTGACGTCACAGGGACAGAAACGCCTTGTGATTTCACCATAAAGCGGTGCAATACCAATTCAGTGGAAAAGTAGCCACATTTAAACACCTCAAAGCTGTTTGTGCATAGACTTTATTGCCACATCAGTGTACAAAAAGTAAATTATTCTTAATTAAATGTTTTGAAAATTTCTATCTCCCAACATGCTAATAAAAAGTATAAACATCTCCATCTTTAACAGTCCACATCATTCAGTAATAAACATCTGAAAATAGAGCTCTACTTGTGAAAAGGACTCATAGCTTATATAAAAAATGATAGAAATCTGGTGCCAACTCTAGATCTGCTGGAGTCCCTTGCCTTCAGATCAGACAAGGCCAGTCTGTGGTGAGATGTAGGACACTGGGGATGTGAAGGGGCTGCTCAGGGGGTAGTGGAGGGAGCTGGGGAAGGCCAGTCCTGCTGACAGTGTGGGGCTGTTGTCATGGTACAGCACAGGGACTCTGACGATTCTCTGAGTGGAGAAGGGCACTGTGGCACTGGCCTCCATGTCAGCTGCCATCTGTCTCTTCCACTTGTTCCTTCGGTTTTGGAACCAGATCTTGACCTGTGTCTCTGTGAGCTGCAGTGTGGCGGCGAGTCCGGCCCGCTCTGCGCTGCTCAGGTACCGTTTCAGGTCAAAGGTCGACTCCAGCTGGAACACCTGGCTACGGCTAAAGACTGTACGTGTCTTCTTCTTCCTCGCCAACTTTTCACCACCTACAAGAGAAAGCCTAATGTTTATTTTTTACGAAATAGTTTGTAAAGTGTCTGTAATATCTCAGATGTCCATGCAAAAGAAAATTTTATTTTGTCAACTGGACAAAAATTTTTGTGAATTTTGCTGGTAACTTGGCAGAACTGAAAGAGCCTCATGGGTGAATGGTGAAATGTTCACTCCACTGTGTGTTTGTTATAATAAAACCTGGTAAGTAAAACAGCATTTCATTGTTCCTTGGCAATGATACATTTATTTCATCAACTACAACTGATCCAGATGAATAATGGCTATAAATATTTCTTGTCATAATAACACAATACCACATGTAAATGCCCTTTGCATTGAAGTGTCTTATGTCCATAATGACTCCAAGGTTGAGAGCTCTAACTGTGGACTGAATGAGTAATGCACTAAATTGTAAACTACAGCCAGGCTTATAGGATGACACCTAATACTTATAATAATAATAAGTATTAATATTTTTATTTTTATTTAAGAATAATGTTATCAATAATGCACAAGTTAAAAACATCACATTATCATATCATGTAGATTTGAAGAAATTTGATAAAAATGTATCAACTTGAGCAGTGAAGCGTATAAGGCCTTTTCTTACCTGTTCTCTCCTCTTCCTCTCCGTCCTCTCGCTCTCCTTTCTCTTCTGGACTGTCGCTGTCCTCCGTGTGGCCCGTACTTGGACTTCCCCCGTCCCCATCCTCGCTATCCTGGTATGGAGGACCTGCGAGGAAACACGGAGCAATTAGACTTGGAATCTAAAATCATTTGTTTGTGGAGAGTAGATCAGGTGCCAACATCTCACGGACTGTCCCATGGTAAGAGTTTTACGCACGATTGGGAACACTAAAACGTGCATATACCACGTGGGCAGGCAGCTACTTTCGCTTATGTGGCTTTTACGCACAGAGCGCGGCCCTACTGCGGATCATATTGTGCCGTGTTCATGTTTTTAAAATATATAAAAATATGTCATTCGTTAGTTTTGTTGAATAGGAATACTAGTAGAAGGGATTGTCTTAACCCAGATTATCCAAAAGATAAAAAGTATAAACTAAACTAAATAGGTCGAACAGGAATATGCCAATAAGTATCAAAAACAAACTCAAATGGTTTCTCACTTATTTCACTCCCGCGTGCGCTGGGTGAAGTCTCGTGGAGTCCCCGTTCATCCAGAGTTTTTGTGTCCTCCAGGATGTCTCTGCTGCTTTCCACACACTTGTGCCCGGCGCTCTCCGAACGCCCCTCGCGCTTTTCGACTGAAGTACCCAACAAATTTTCAATAAAGAACGATGTTGCTTTTGGTGAAGGACCAAGCTTCGCCTTTGGCACATTCTTGTCAAGCATCTTGAGCGCAGTGTCCACAGCGTATACTTTACAAATGTCTGAGGTTTAAAATCACGCGTAATCCAGTGAACGTGTCTTGTTTTCAGACCATAGAGCCCTCTCTGCACAAACCATCCCGTCGCCCGTCGCGCCACAGCCCCACTTCGCTCTAATCCACACAATAAGTCGAGGTGGGTTCAAGATCAGCCAGGAAGCGATGAGATTTACTTGAGAAAACTAGACGTCGTCTCGTCCCGAGCCACTCTTGTAGTCTGCTCAGGCTGCCTGCGGGAGCGAGGGATGCTGTATTTAGGTCAGGCAGACTCCGGCAGCGCGGACACGCACTGTTGTCCTGAGGGCTGCGATGGAGTCGCTTCATGAGGAATAGCACACTACCGCCTATTGGCTACATCTGTTTATGCACACACACTGTTTCCTCTGGAGCCGCTAAACCACACTAAAACACCAACGGTCTGGTCAAACAATACATAAATATGGTCATTTTATTTTATGACACTAAAGAATCCACATGCCCCACATACTTTTGCTATTATAGAATTGAACACCCGAAAATGCTTTTCAAAGGCCCACTATGTAAAACTCAAAAAAATTGTGGTACAATTGAAGCATGTTTTTGTTTGTTTTTCCACTGGAAAAACAATGGAAAACTTTATATATATATATATATATATATATATATATATATATATATATATATATATATATATATATATATATATATATATATATATATATATATATGAGAGAGAGAGAGAGAGAGAGAGATAGATATAGATATTTCCATGGAGGTACAGGTGGCTTGCCACCTCCAAATTCCACAGTGTTGCTTTAAATGATAGTTGTGTGATATGTACAAATATGTTTGCATGTGTTGGACTTGATATTGCAGAAATGGAGCCCAAAACCTTTTGAGTAGTGGCCCTGAGGGCATGTGAGGTGACAGCCTGCCTCAGATTAACACGAGTAAATGAGTGAAGCTGAAATGTTGGTCACATTTGAACAGTGAAGGAGCCCAGCTCTGCTTTTAGAAAAGTAATAGGATTGAAACACTATGAAAAGCTTACTTTCATGTGTAAGAAGCCTTGGAGAAATGGTCTGAACATTCCAGTGGCATGAGCCTCATTGTGTATAACTGTCTCTGATTAACTCTGAAACTACAAAAAACAAAATGGTTTTATCTACTTAAGTAATTAATTTTATAACTTTTTCTGGCACTTACGAGAGTGTATACAAAAGCATCTTTGCAATAATAGTCATCAGTCTAGTACTGTGGCTCTTGTCGGTGCACTGACTCAAACCTGTGGGACTTGGATTACAACTCATTAGTGCACATTTCATTCAGCATTAGTGACAGCTGCGGTATACGTTTGTTCATTCATAAGCCCATAAGAATCCCCTTTTAAGTGCTAGGGGGCAAAAAAGCCTGCAACAAGTGCATATTGTGTAAAATTCTGTATAAAATGAATCTTGGCTTCTTTTTTTTTTTAACAAAGATTCAGACAGATACGTTTTGTGAGCAATGAGACAGAGATTATCTCATAGATTTTTGGCAATAACAACAGTCTTACCTATAGGACATCCCGTATCTAAAGGGGCGCAGCTGAGTCTCTGCATGGACACAAGAGGTATATAAGGCACATTTAACAGACACACAGTTCTGTGTGGTAATATTTAGGCTACATTTGAAACATATAATAATACTACAATACTTACATCTTTGTTTTAAGGTGTAGTATGATGCAAAATATGTATTTGTAGTATTATTCTGAATTAATAAATAGAAAAAATAAGAGTTGAGATAATATAGCCTTTTTGTGGATTTTTTTCAAACATATTTGTCTCTTGGAAACATAATATACACATAACAAACGACAGTTCCTATAATCCAGATTAAGCCTCAATAATGCATATCTTTATTGTGTGAAATGTGAGAGTGCACAGGGAATCCTTCACATCACAACAGCTTCAACAGAGCGCCGCAAGCTGCAGAGGTCAAGGCCACGACCCACAATGCAATGGTGTCTACCAGTGTCCCGCATAGGAGCAGCCGACCAGAACGGCCTCTTTTTACGCAACACTGAGCTCAATATTTTCACCAGTCCGCCTTTCCCCCATGTCTTTGCCACCTCGCCAAGATGGAGTCTGCAAAGGGGGATATCCTAGAGAGACGATGTCAAACTGGTCGCCGTGGTACCAGCGTGAAAACATTGCTCGTGGACCATATTAACCCTCCTTCTTAATCTGCATTTTATAGCTTCTCCGTAACAACAAAAAGAACACTCCAGATTACAAGCATTCAATGTGACACATACTTCTGCTGCTTAATCCCCATTAGCCCTCACCCCAGTGCGCCCAGAGCCAGCTTGTGTTGAAAAGAACCAAAAAATACTTTTAAGTTTATTAAGCACATTTAGAAACGCTTCACTTACTCACTCAAGTTGACAAAGTTGCATTAGTGAGATTTGTTGTTGCTGAAAAGAGCTCCACAGCATTAACATCCATTGTGGAATAAACTATTAATGCCTGTTTGTTTAACCCTTGCACAGCAAATTAACCCCTGTTGGAGCTGGTTTGTCAGATCAACGCAGAGGGGGACGCTGTGTCTTCAAATAGGCTCATGTCCTTAGTAACCCTGAAGTGACACTGCTCTCAAACCTTTTGCTAAACACTGTAAAGTTTATTTGATTTTTAAATTCAAGACTTGACTAACACTGACTAAAACTTTGCATTAATCTGATCTAATTCAAGACTAAACCAAAGTTATTCATTCTCAAGACAAAATTGAGTCTCAAACTATATCTAAACATTTACTTAAAGCTCTGCAATAATATGGTTAATAAATAGGTGAAATGTAAATGCAATATTAGATGTGTTTCTTTTGTTTTGTTGAATAAATAGGAAAAAAAAATTCTAATAAAGACTGAACAAAGAATAGCTGTAAAGAATAATGAAAATTTTAACAAAACTAGTCTGCAATATCCTTTTCACAATTTTATCTTTAAACTATTATAAAGTTTGTGTTCCAGTTCTCAAGAATCAAAACTCTAATGTAGAACTTTTTCTCAGCAACTCGACAGCTTTTAGGTCTTTTTCGTGCATAAAAGAAACATCATTTACTTTATGATCAAACAAAAGCAAAACCAAAATCTGCTGAGTAGTACAGATCCACAAACACCAACATAAACATCTAAAAGATCCAAGTGTAAGAGCAGACAGTGAAGTAGGCATCAGGTAGACTACCCCTCACACACAGGAAGTACAGAGACCCTTGGGGGGCCGGAGCAGCTCTGGTGATGGATTACAGGCCCCTGCTCCAGGATGAGGCCTCGGCTTATGGGACATCAGATCAATGCTAAAACATCAGCCTCCCACTAATAACGCTAATGTCTTTAGTCCTTCCTGGAACACGGGTCTGATCTGAGCTCATTACATGTTTTTATCTTCAACTTGAGGACCTGAGCAATCCATGCGAAGTCTCTACGTGAGCCCACACTAAAAATATCCAAATATTCTCCATGATCTGAGATGGTGAAGCAGAGAGAACCAATGGGAACGTGGTGGAATTGCGTGAGAAAGAAGCGAAGGAGACGAGAGGTTGTGGCGAGTGCACTGGCCCCAGGTCAAAGCACTTCTGTCGTATTAGCTTATACACAGTCTCCATAGCCTTCAATAAATCATGGGCCCAGAGCACAGCAGGCGCGTGGGCTCAGAGTGGTGCAGCCAGAGACGGTTACGCACAGACAGGCTGCTGTGTGACAAGCACGACTACTACACTTTTGGAATACGGTTCTTTCATAACATCGGTGTGGCTTTCATACTGTACTATTCTTAGTTTATGGTTAACTACTGACCTACTGTAAAAAAAAAAAATAATAATAATAATAATAAAAAGTAATAATAATAATAAAAATGAAATAAAATAACTACAGATAAACGTTTGAATATAGTTAAGTTGTAGTTTAGTTGACCGGTGACTTCAGGAGACTGCGTACACCTTTAAAAACCCAAATTGCCCGTTCTTAAAAATAACCAAAGCTTCACAGTTGGCGATGGTTGGTAAAACTATTTATTTCAAGTTTTTATTGTAATTTTTTAGCGGTACACGTAGCTGTAAATGACTGCAGGCCGAGAAACATGACACAAGAGTCTGCGCGTAATTTGTTTCGCACGCGCATCATCCAAACTCAAATTTGGATCAGTTAATGACAAAGATATCTTCTATTTCACCTGTTTTAAGGCACAGTTTAGTGCCTATATGATAAAATGTAACAATAAATATTCAGTATATAATATATGAGATGTTTTACCCATAATTTAGCCTGCACTAAACCCTAAAATGCACATTGTCTTTTTTTTTTTTTTTTTAGAATATTAAGACTGGAGTATTTTTTACTGTCCCTACTTTTAATTAGGGTTCGACTCATGCTTGATTTGTAATAAATAAATAATTAAATACATAAATAAATAAATAGATTAATTGCGTGTTGGCTTTTCTGAACCACAGGACCACGGTGCGGGCTCAGGCTCACAAATTTTATTGTTAGTAGTCTACAGTTTGGCGTTTTTGCCAGTGTTTTTCATGATTACGTCTTCTCCATGATATTTTAAAATCATCAAACCCACTGCATTTAATTCAGGAGGAGTGGAAGCAATTTCTTATCGGTGACCAACAGGGTTTTGGCGTGTTTTGGTGTGTGCACAATGTCCTGCGTATTAGATAATAACTTATTTTGAACTTATTTTTATTTAAGTTACTTGTAGTCTGTATATGCACTATTATATTATATTTAAAGAAAGAAATTTAAATGGCATACATCTGTAATAAATAAGTCAATAAAAAATAAACAAACTGTAATTATGCGCACATGCACGTCTGTAGTTCTTCTGTGCGCAAAGTTCACGCATTATAACCGATTTATCACTTTGCATGTTTCTTGTTAAAACAATAACCTTTTATCGTCCCTTATGCTGCCGATTTCCAAGATGTTTGAACGTCTGTA